GCGTGGCACTTGTTTCTAATAGCTTCTTGTTACTACTAGTAAGGCACTTGTTACTACTAGCGATGCACTTGTTACTAGTAGATGATGTGCTATTTTGCGCTAAAATCTCCACGCCTTTTGAAAGACCTAGCCATGTGTTGCCGTTTGTGGGGAAATATTGGGAAATCCTTCGCCAAGCGCTGCTCCACATCCGGCAACTCCACAAGCGTCACTCTCTCGTCCCAGCGGCTGGCATCAGGTGCTTCGCGGCCCAGCCAAAGCGCATACAGCTGAAGCCACTCGTCTCTAACTCTACATGGGCAAAGATCCCCTCCTGTCGAACAGGTGCTTCAGAGTTTCTATACACATCTCCACACCAAGGCGAGAGAAAAAATGGTTAAACATCTCACAACATCTTACGTCACAAGTCACAAGTCCCAGATCTCATCTCAGCCATCACAGCTTAAGCTTGGCAACACAAATGACGGCTGTGAAGTTCTTGACGTCTTGGATTTAGATCCATCCGCGGGGTTTGGCCCGGGAGTTGTGCTGCAAAAATATCAAAGCGTTCAAGTGACGGGTGCATTTCTGGTGACTGGAAGGATTTGGAGATTGGAATCTGGAAACGAGGTGGGATATGCCTGCTTGCATGGTGCCCACTTTCCCACGCCTTCTAAGTGTCCTTCTTCATTGACTTGTTGATTCCTCTCCATTTGAGCATAGCGCTATTTCAGGAATGCCAAGACCGACGAGCTTAACAACATCTACAGTACTGAAACTTACACAAATAGGCTGCCCAATGGCCATCCTTTTCCATCTTTTTCCCCTTCACCTCTGAGGGTCAACCCAGAAAAATGGAAAGACACATATTGTATATAAACCAATATTATATATTAAACGTCGTAAACCAGTCATTTTCTTCCATTTCTGTCTCAGGTGGTCTTTTGTTGAACAGTTGGCACCCCTAACTCCCTGGCTCGTCAGGAGCCGGCACACGAGTTTCTAGCACAACTGTCGGGGCGCTGATCTGGTCCAAAGCTCGCACCGGCCATAGCTCCATTCGATTCCTGTGGCGATCCGGTGAGAGGCACCAGGCGCTCTGCATGGCTTAGCTATATGTAGATGCCCAGTAGGGGTGGCTGGGATATTCTTGCAGTAGACTGGATTAGACTGTGACTGATATATTAGACACATAAAAATATACAAGGTAGATCACATTCAGTGTTGTGCCCTGGTGTGGGGGGGGACACCATCACAAGACATCTACCTTCGGCTAGCTAGCAACCTCAAAAGAGCTCAAACTTTGGAATCCCTGCAGGAATATACAGAACTACAGGGTCGGCACGGCCGCTTTGGCAGGTCTCAATAGCGCCCGAAAAAGACCACTGTATACACGCATGCTGGAAGCCATGTTGACATTTAGGACATCGCCTGGGTTTAGGGGCGCAAGAGTGGTCCATTGTGACAAGTCTTCGAGGAAAAACTCTTCTCCTTCTGAGTGCACACGGCCCGAAAAATGGCAACCTCTCCAGACCACCTCATCCTGTCACACTGTGTCGCCGCCATGGGCCGTAACGAAGCACAAAACCGGGCTTCACATGGCCCGGCCATGTCCGATGACCATGCTCGATGACCATGCCCGATGACGCACTTTGCAGGCCTTTGCAGCTGGGAAAGTGCTGCAAACACAGGGCTTTGCACTCCTCAGCGCGAAGCCATACATTGGAACTCAAACCAGGTTGGTCCATCTCTGGTATCCGCCACCGTCCTTTGTTGGATCTCTCTTCTGGGAAGTGTCCGTCTGTGGAGCTGTGTCTTGCACCTTCTGAGGTATTTTTGGTGTCACTATCCAGTGTGACTCCTGCATATCATGGTTATCTACGGTTCTCCTCCATGTTGCAACAAAAACTGTCAACAACACTACTCAGCAAAGTGATGTTTTTTACCCTCCACGCAAACACATTGCAACACTCCGTCTTGTGCAAGAGTGCAATACTCACCTACTTTGATTGGTGGAAGGGCATCATGCGTCAGGAATTGCAATCTCGGTTGAGGGTCCCTACATGAATAGACATACGTCTGGAAGGGCGTGAAGGGCACTGTGCTTGAAAAGCGGCTTCAATCTCTGTGATGCCGTGATGGACAGTGTAGTAGCTCGCAGAATTATCTGTTTGGTTCCTCGCAACTGTGAGCGGTCACTCCACTCGCGCTCGAAAGGTTCACAAAGGCAACGCATTAGTAAAGGTCTGGGCGTACGGTACAATCATTCACCAACTTTCACAAACATACTGTATGATCCCTACCCCTTAGCAGGCTCAAATCCATGGTTAAGGGGGTGGGGATACTGTATCATACTGTAATGAGTAAGGATTGGAGTTGTGACACCCGAAATCGCTAGCGCTTAACACCCTCATCCCACCTCCGTGTTTCCCACCTCCCAGCTGAGCAAACGAGCAGCGTCCTGCTCCAACCAGAGTAACTACCAGGCAAAGGAAAAATCCAAGTGTTTCCTCGCCTTGTTACTAGCTTCTTGTTCCAGTAGCACTGCCCT